CCATTGATACACTTGGGTCGAGAGAGGCACTGTGAGAGTAAAGTGTCTTGCCCAAGAATTCAACGCAATGTCCCCAGCCAGGGCTTGAACCCAGACAGCTCTATCCAGAGATGAGTGCACTATGTGGTCACCACACCTCCACATGTAAGAAATTAGTCTTCAGGTTTTTGGTGGGTGAGCACTGTTACCATTTTGGAATCTCAGAACAGCCCTCTTTTTCTACCTCCTGTTTTTCAAAACCGAGATAGGGATTTAGCCCTGACTGACCACCAAATTCTTAATCTCACGCTGATTGGTTAAAAATTGTGTTTCTATTAAACAATTAGATTATGAGCTCGAGATTTCTATCACGTGATAGTTGATGAGGGTGCAGCCCGAGTCAACTATCACGCATAGCAATTGAGAGCGAATAATCTAATTGTTGTAGTATAAATCTACTAGTCGTTCAAAACTTTATTTAAAACCTCTCCACAGACACTTTGAAAATGCCAAGAAGCAGCTGTCATTTTGTGACCAAGGGTACACTGTTATGCTACTCACTTTCTATCACAGAATAGATAGTGAGTAGCTTAGCCAATCAGAGAACAGCATTTGTGATAGAACGGTAGTAGATTTATACTAAAACTCAATAGAAACATGGGACGTGTTTTCTATTAAATTAATACATTTACAAAATATCAATGTATACCTGAGTCTTTACAAAAGAGTAAAAAATTATACCAAATAATTTCCAAAACTGGTAAAAACTTCACCTTTCCTAAATTCCACTGGTTTCCAGCTTCAGTCATACTGACCAGCCAACTAACATATCAATCCGTATAGTTATGCTAACTGACAATCCACTTGAATGTTTAAATATTAAGAATTATTATTTTATAAGGTCACTGAGTGTCAGACACTCAACATTACTTGTAACTTCACACATATGTGGCATTTGATAATATAAAAATTTGCATGAAGGAAGTGCTGGAAGATCTTTCTTGAAGCCATTTTTTCTCACTGAGAAAACTTTAAGTTTCAGCACAAAATTCTCGTCATCATTTTACGTGATATCATTGGCTTAGACAATTTCCTATTGTATTTCAGCCAATCATAATCCAGGATTACGATGTGTAATTTGCACTGGTGAAACACTTTTTGCACTGGTGTTACACTTGAACTGCACTGCTCTCAACCAATCAGAATCGAGTAATTTTTTCA